GATGCGGGACTCGATGCGGGACTCGATCCCGGGACTCCAGGATCATGACCTGAGCCAAAGGCAGTCGCTTAACCAACTGAGCCACCCAGGCGCCCCTAGCATTTGTTTTCCTTTACTGTGTTTTGGTCTTTATCCTCAGTTAGACTGCAATTTGATCTCCCCTGAGCAACTGGCATATAATAAGTGGTAAGTGAATGATTTGTTAGAATAGACCCTGGGAAGCAGAGTAGGGATGCTTACCTCGACTCTGGAAGATACAGGTTCCAGACCAGCATTGTCCAACAAAAATATAATGTGAGCTGTATATGTAATTTAAAATTTTCACATTTTTAAAAAGGAAAAAGAAACAGATGAAATTAATTTTAATATTTATTATATTATTAAACATATCAAAATATAATTTCAACATGTAATCAATATAAAAAATTGAGATATTTTACATTTTTTCCCACGGACAATCTTTTTCTTTTTTCTTTTTTCTTTTTTTTTTTAAATTCCAGTATAACATATAGGGTTATACTAGTTTCAGGTGTACAATATAGTAATTCAACAATTACATACATTACTCAGTGCTTGTTATAAGTGTAGTCTCTCCTTTTTCTTAAGATTTTATTTATTTATTAGAGAGAGAGATGGTGAGCAAGAGCACAAGCGGGGTGAAGGGGCACAGGGAGAGGGAGAAGCAGGATCCCTGCTGAGAAAGGAGCCAGATATGGGGCTCCATGGGGGGGAGGGAGGGGGGGAATGGGGGGGCAATGGACAGGATTGAGATCATGACCTGAGCCAAAGGCAGACGCTTAATGACTGAGCCACCCAGGTGCCCCCTGATAAGTCTACTCTTAATCCCCTTTACCAGTCTCACCCATCCCCCCACCCACCTCCTCTCTGGTAACCACCAGTTTGTTCTCTATAGTTAAAAGTCTGTTTTTTTGTCTTCCTTTTTTTTTGTTGTTCATTTTTTTTCATAAATTCCACACATGAGTGAAATCATATGGTATTTGTCTTTCTCTGACTGACTTATTTCGGTTAGCATTATACCCTTAGATCCATCCATGCTATTGCAAATGGCAAGATTTCATTTTTTATGGCTGAGTAATATTCCACTGTGCATATATATCACATTTTCTTTATTCATTCATTATCTGTGGACACTTGTGTTGCTTCCGTATCTTGGCTATTGTAAATCATGCTGCAGTTAACATAGAGGCACATATATCTTTTCGAATTAGTGTTTTTGTTTTCTTTAGGTAAATACCCAGTAGTGGAATTACTGGATCGTATGGTAATTCTACTTTTCATATTTTGAGAAACCTCCATACTGTCTTCCACAGTGGCTGCACCACTTTGCGTTCCCACCAACAGTACATGAGAGTTCCTTTTTCTTCATGTCCTCACCAACACTTACTTCTTGTGTTTTTTATTTTAGCCATTCTGACAAGTGGGATGTGGTTTTGATTTGCATTTCCCTGAAGATTAGTGATGTTAAGCATCTTTTCAGGTAACTGTTGGTCATTTTCTTTGGAAAAAGATCTGTTCATGTCTTCTGCCCCTTTTAAATTAGATTATTCAGGGGGTGCCTGGGTGGCTCAGCTGTTAAGCATCTGCCTTCGGCTCAGGTCATGGTCCCAGGGTCCTGGGATCGAGCCCTGCATCAGGCTCCCTGCTCTGCGGGAGGCCTGCTTCTCCCTCTCCCACTCCCCCTGCTTATGTTCCTTCTCTCTCTGTGTCTCTCTTTGTCAAATAAATAAAAATCTTAAAACAAAATAAATTAGATTATTCAGATTTTTTTGGTGTTGAGTGTATAAGTTCTTTATTTTACTTATTAACCTCTTATTGGATATATCATTTGCAAATATCTTCTCCCATTCGGTGGGTTGTTTTTTTGTTTTGTTTATGGTTTCCTTTGCTGTGCAGAAGCTTTTTATTTTGGTGTTGTCCAATAGTTTAATTTTGCTTTTGTTTCTCTTGCCGAAGAAGACATATCTAGAAAAATGTTTCTACGGCTGATGTCAAAGAGATTACTGCCTATGTTCTAGGAATTTTATGCTTTCAGGTCTTACATTTAGGTCTTTTTTTTTTTTTTTAAAGATTTTATTTATTTACCTGACAGAGAGAGATACAGCGAGAGAGGGAACACAAGCAGGGGGAGTGGGAGAGGGAGAAGCAGGCTCCCCGCAGAGCAGGGAGCCCGATGCGGGACTCGATCCCAGGACCCCGGGACCATGACCCGAGCCGAAGGCAGTCGCTCAACCAACTGAGCCACCCAGGCGCCCTTACATTTAGGTCTTTAACCCATGTTGAGTTTATTTTTCATGTATGGTGTAAGAAAGTGGCCCAGCTGTTGCTGCTGCTGCTGCTTCTCCTCCTCCTCCTCCTCCTTCTTCTTCTTGTTTTTGCATGTAGCTGTCCACTTTTCCCAACACCATTTAGTGAAGAGACTATCTTTTTCCCATTGCATATTTTTGCCTCCTTTGTCTCCACACACAGTCTTTGAAATTGATGGTTATTTTACACTTACAGTCAATTCAGACTAGCCACATTTCAAGTGCTCCACAGCCATATGTGGGTAGGGACTACCACATTGAACAACACAGTTCCAGACCCTTCTTGGTTACTAAGTTTCTAGGTAATTCTGGATGAGACATTTCCTTCTTTGGGTCTCAGTTTCTTCATGTTTTACTTTATTTTTTTTTAAGTAGGCTCTACGCCCAACGTGGAGCTTGAACCCATCACCCCGAGATCAGGAGTTGGACATTCCACCAACTGAGCCAGCCAGGTGCCCGTTTCTTCATATTTTAAATAAAGAGCCCAGACCAAATGTTTTTTCTTCCAGCACTGACCTGTGATTTTTTCAAACTTAACCAGTTCTTTTCTTCTCCTCTCTTCCCACATCTCTCTCACTCTCTCCCTCCCATTTTCCCAATTCTTTCTCCCCCATACCCAGGTCTGTTCCCTGCAAAAGATCAGAACCTTAGGTGAGAATGGCAGAAATTCTACGTGGCCAACAATTTTTCTAAGCCACTCTTGCTGTGCTGAGGGAGACTCTGCCCAGCAACTGTTGATCATGGGAAATCATGGATGTGATTGGTTGCTATGTGGGTGGCTTCAGAGAAGTAGCTGGTTAATCTTTCTCTGGCCATCCCAAGCCATTTTACAAACCAGAAAATTCCAGCCTCAAATCCCAGCACTGTCTCCTACCAGCAGTGTTGTTTTATTAACAGCTCTGTGCTTTTGTTTTTAATCTGCAAAATGGTAATAATACCCACCTCAGAGTTTGGGAGGGGGGATTAAATGGGACAGCATAAATGTAAGAGCATAATAAATGTGAGTTTTCTGTAACCTGCCTGTAACTACACATTTTAATGAGGCTGGGAGAGGGAGGCATATTGTCGACAGTGCTCCCAAGAGGCTAGGTGCTTGGATGAGTGATTTTATGTGATCCACAACCATATATAACTTCTCTGCTTCATAAAGAAAGGCTTTGCAGGGGCGCCTGGGTGGCTCAGTAGGTTAAGCATCTGCCTGCGGCTCAGGTCATGATCTCAGGGTCCAGGGATTGAGCCCCCAATGCACGGCTCTCTGCTCAGTGGGGAGTCTGCTTCTCTCTCTGCCTACCCCTCCCCCTGCTTGTGAGTGCGCACTCTCTGACAAATAAATAACATCTTTAAAAAAAAAAAAAATGGTCTTTCTTAATTGTGAGCTCCCTGAGGTCAGGGAATAACTTGTCTCCATTACAACTCCAGTATCTAGCTCTGAGCCTGACATATGATGGGCACTTAAATTGGTGGAGGATATTCTAGAAAAAGCTATACTCAAGGCATGAAGGCATGAAATAGCAAGGCTTACTTGAAATACAAGTAGACCCTAGTGGAGCATCAAGTTTGAAGAGGAAAATTAGTTCATTCCATGGGAGAAGAGTGAGCGCTCTCTCTTTTTTTTTTTTTACTGAGGTGGGGGCACTTTTGGAGAATGTGCTCAAAGGGATTAAAAGCTTCATTTGCCTCCCTCTAGCAGTATCACTGACAGTGGGGCGCCGCTGATCAAAATCCTGGAGAAGTAACAGGGATCACAAAAGGTCTTCCTTGTATTTGAGGCTACAAATTTGGGATTTACAATGTGGGCGATGAGAAGTCCGTGAGGGATTTTAAACAGTAAGACTCAAGAGGAAAAAAAAGGGCAAGGTTACAAGCCTAACTGGTGATACAGCTAAACTCAGGAAAGGGGTCTTTTTTTTTTTTTAACTTCAGAACTCTTACCAGCAGACTTACACAGCTTTCATGGAAATCTAACAATTCTGGAGTGTGTAGGCTAAGCGGCAAAGGTTCAGGAACAACGTTCGGCACCCTCTAAAAGTTTGGTTAACACAGGACCAGCATCTAAAATCTCGGTTCCATAAAACGAGGACGCCTTTCTTTCAAAGAGGAACTCTGTTCTTCGCATCATCTTCGTCGTGACGCGCCTCCTTCTCGACCCTCTCTTCCCAGTCGCCTCACTCTTCCTCCTCCTTCCTCCTCCTTCTCCCTCCACCTCTCTCCTCTCCTCCTCTCTCCTCTCCTCTCCCCATTGTTTCGACCCACTCCCTCCTGACGCATGCTGGGAAGTGTAGTCGCTCGCCCTGCTGTTTGAGCCGGCGGGGCGGCCCTATAAACTCAGTATCTGCACATAACTCAACACATTTTTTGAGAGGTGGGGTAAAGCCTGGTAAGGCCCAGCCCCTTATCCGAGGAGCAGTCTGGGAGTTGCAGTTTCCAGTCCCCAAAGCGGGCAGGTTGGGGGCCGGCTCTTGGACTCTAATCACCCCCATCCTCGCTCATCCTGATGACGTCACGTGAGCCCGGCAGGTCCCTGCGATAGACGGTAGTTCTCGAGGAGGGGTCTCCGCCCTGGCTGCCGCGACTCGAGAACAACACTTCCCAGGAATCTGCGCGGCGGCGCGCCGACAGCCGCGCGATGCCGTGATTGGCTGGTGAGCCGGCCGCACGCGGAGCCCAAGGAGCAGCTCTGTTGCGACAGAGGCCGAGCGGCGAGGCCCAGTGAGTTGGGGGAAGGGGCGCCGGGGGGAGGGTGCTGGCCGGTGAGGGGGGAGGGAAGAAGAGAAGAGGGAGGAGGGATGGGGTCGGGATGGAGGAGGCTGCGGAAGAGAAGAAAGGGCCCAGGGAGAGACGCTGACGGGCGGGGGCTGGGGAAAGTCCCAGGGGTGGCGAGCGAGGAGACCCTGCGGGGACTCACCGAGGGGAAGACGAGTGCGTCCCGGGAAGAAGCTGGGCCCGACGGCTCGGTGGTGTAGAGGGGGAAACGGAGAGGAGGACTGAGGCAGACGGGAGGAGGAAGCCCGGGAAAGTGAGGTGGCCGGCTGGAGCGCCGAGAGCCAAGTTGTGGGGAAACCGGAGACGGGGACCTCTGCCGAGGGGACAGAACCTGGTCCCTAACTGGAGGCCCTGAAAGGAGGAGCGTTTCCAGAGTGAGGCAGTCCGTGGGGATTGGTGGACAAAGCCTGAGGGAAGAGATGTTAAGATTAGAAGAGCGGCCGAGGACCAGAATTGGCTTGAGAGACCCTGACAAAATTTGGAGCGGCTAGGCATGGGCGGAGCAGGGTATCCGAAGCTTGATAGGAAAATTCCTGAGCGGGATGGAGCAGGGCCCAGGCATTCTACTACAAGTTCAGAATTGTGGGGTATTTGCCTTTCTTCAGGCTCCCTGTAAGAACAGTTTCGTACCCCTGTGGTTCATCACCATGCCCTCTGACCTGGCCAAGAAGAAGGCAGCCAAAAAGAAGGAAGCTGCCAAAGCACGACAGCGGCCCAGAAAGGGACACGAAGAAAACGGAGATACTGTCACAGAACCACAGATGGCAGAGGAGAAAAATGAGGCCAATGGCCGAGAGACCACAGGTGAATTGAGGGAGACGTGGGTTCCTGGGATGGTTGCTACAACTTAATGGATGCCCATACTGGAGTCAGAATCCTGATGCGGGGGGGCACTGGAGAATGTATCTGGTGCCACAAAACTTTTCATGATGAACCAGACCCATAGAATTGGAGCTGTGCCCTTTTGCTATTGATCGGGAAAACCGAACACAAGGTTCTCTCATACCTAGTGGCAAACAAATGTATGGGTATTGTGCTATCTTGGTGCTCTGCATGCTAGCCTGAGGAGGAGGTCAATTCCTTGCCCTTTTCTCATTTTCCATTTCCACACATGGTGGTCAGTGTGCCAGGTTCTTTGCCACATCATACCTCTGGCCTTCCAGGGGTGGTAACTCTACCAAGAGAGAAACTTATGAATTGCTTTTTTGGATTTTTCCTGGGGAAAGATGCTTTTCTGTTATTTATATTTTGGGAAATATTTATTGAGCACTTCTCAAGTGCTAGACACCATGCTACATACTGATGCACTTTGAACTGTCTGCTCTCTGATAACTTACAGTCCAGCTGGGGAAAGATGACAGTGTGTGACACAGAATTTTCCAGGCCCTTGGAAGTCTCTTCCTGACCTTCTTTCTGCCCCTCTGAAAATTCCCCAAACAGACCTGCTCCATCCAGACTATTATTGTGTCTTGACTAGTCATGACATTTTTGCCCTTATACACTAAGGTTCTTTTTTTTTTTTTTAAAGATTTTATTTATTTGACAGAGGGAGACACAGTGAGAGAGGGAACACAAGCAGGGGGAGTGGGAGAGGGAGAAGCAGGCTTCCCACGGAGCAGGGAGCCCGACGCGGGGCTCGATTCCAGGACCCTGGGATCATGACCTGAGCCGAAGGCAGGCGCTTAACGACTGAGCCACCCAGGCGCCCCACACTAAGGTTCTAATGCCACAATTTTTGTGCCAGCTGCATTTGACATTGCTCTCGGGGCCCAGCTCAGGATAGCAAAACTTTCCGCATCAAACCTGACCTTTAAAATAATATCACTCACTATACCCCTGTGCTGTCGTATAGTGTTACTTTTTATGTTGTGTCTTCTGTTTGTTCATCAAAATCATTTGATCTTTGAGTTCGGGGACCACGTTTCTTGGGTTATACTTTTTTGTGGGACTAACCTTGCAGATGGAGATACTAAGTAAATGTTTGAAGAGGAGAGCGAAATTACTAATACAAGTCATAACAGATAGGAATTCAGAAAAGGGGGAGTTAAAAGTGATTGAGAGGAGAGAGCTGAGTGGTAGGAATTGTCTCCAAAATAAGAATTATGGGAGAAAGCTGGTGCAGTAAGGTCAAGCCACAGGGAAGTTTTATTCCTGGCCAGAGTAGTGGAGGATCGCCAAGTTGAAAATGATGGGAGTGAATGAGGAGGCTGAGTTGTGATCTCTAAAATAGAGAGGTGGGGTCCCGTCTAGGTCCTCAGGAACCATGGTGAAGCAGTGTCTCTCATCAGCTTTCTCGCTGAATTGGAAAGGTAGCAAAGTGAATCCTACTTGAGACTATTGTCCACTGTTCCCATTACAAATTTCTTCTTCACTTTTGCCCCTTGGAAAATAGGATTTCCAGGGAACCCAGCTGTGGTATCCCCATCTCAGTAATAGGAGAGCTTTAGTTTTCACCTTTCTTCTTCAGGCAGCTGCTGTTCTGAAATGTGACATCTGTTTTCTTTCCAACCCTCTTAAAACATTTCTTATTATCAGGGACCCATGTCGTTTCTGCTCCCTCTCCCAAGACTGAGTCCTCTCTCCTCTCTAAGTTTGAGATTACTTGATGCTGCAGGTCACCATTCTCCAACCTTTACTGATTGCCATTGTCACACAGTCTTCCTTAGGTAGTAAGGTATGGAAAGATCGAAATAAATATCAAAGAAAGTGACCTCTGACAGCTTAACCTTTAGAATGTGAGACTCTTCAGGACAGACGCTGGAGTTCAGCTTGTCCTCTTGTTTGGGAAATGAGTAGAAAGGGACTTCTTGTGAAATCTACAGTATTCTTCTGATGAAGTTTATTCCAGAATCCCTTTTCCATCTATTCAGTACTGTTCACTTGTCTTTAAGTGACAAGTGTTCCCTGGGATGCTGTAGGCTTGGAAAATGAGGTCTGTTTTAAGTCTCTTACTTTCGAAGCTTGGAAGGTGACTTAGGTCCTAGATGCTGTAAACTAGAAGAGGTCAAGAGAAAAGAGTATATAGCTTTTCCTTAATTTTGATCTTCCTCTTGCCTGAGCAGATGGAGAGCTAGACCAGGGATCGGCAAACTTTTTCTATAAAGATCCAGATAGTAGGTATTTGTAGCTTTGTGAGCCGTATGGTCTCTGTCGCAGCTGTTCAGCTCTGCCATTGTAGTGGAAAGCAGCCACAGACACTCTGCAAATGATGAGCGTGGCTGTGTTCCAGTAAAACTTTATAAAAACAGGCAGTTGGCCAAATCTGGCCAGGCTTTTTTTAAGCTACCCCGCGCCTAAGCTAAGAATGGTTTTCTACATTTTTTAAAGTGGTTACATTTCAAACGTCTTGATTTTGCCACTTAGCCCATAAACCCTGAAATATTTAGCATCTGGCCCTTTAAGAAAAAGTTTACTAACTCCTGATCTAGATCATAAACTTCTTCTTACTCCCATCTTCTCAGCATCTAGAATAGGGATTGGCATGAAGCGGAGTTGTGGGAAGCCTGAGAACTCAACCACGTAGAAAAGAGACTGGAAGTTCCTTCATTCAGTAAAAACAAGAACTTTGATCTCCATTCAAAAAGTAGTCGTCAGGCACTTTTATTGATGACACACTGTACTGGGAGCTGAGGTGGATATGGAGTGCCTGCCATCTGTCTAGAGGAGCAGTCCCTGCCCTTAGTGTGGACTCCCTGAAGGTAGAGCGGGTTAGTCCCAAGGTGGGTAATGGCGCCAGCACTAGAAATCACGTGACGGGGGGGGTCTTCAGAGAGTGATCTCAGACTGAGCACCCCTCACCCTCTCTCTTGGAGTTGCTGTCCCCAAGGAGAGCGCTCTCTTCACCCCTCTACCCCATCTTTATTCCTCCTGAGGACAAGCACATAGTCTTTTCTCATTGCAGGGATTCTGTAAAATCACTAAGGGAACATAGGTAAGGGAGACAAAGACTAAAAAACACCAGAAGATTCTCATAGTAGTGGAACTTCGTGTATAACTCCTGACTCCTTCCCAAAAAGGTAAATAAACAGCCTTATTCTCTTTTGGAAGAAGCTTACCAGGACTCCGTCTGCCCCCATTTCTGTCCCACTTCAATAATACTTCATGGGCACCTTCCTTTGTGTAAAGGTAGTAAGTATAGTGACGTAGGTAAGATCATCTGGTTCAAATTCTGGCTCTGTCACTTACTAACTAGCTTTTTTTTTTACTAACTAGCTTTTTTGACCTGGGCTGTGTTATTTAACCTCTTCATTTATAAAACAGGGATTATAAGTATGTATCTTACACGTGTTGTAAGGACTAAGCTAGCTGGGGAATGATGATGTGGCACAGTCTCGCACAGAGTAAACTCAACATTGAATCGCCATTAATATTAATCATTCTTCCCAAGCTAAAGATGTACTCCTGCCTGAGAAACCACAAAGGCACAACAGCCCACGGTCAGTTTGCATCTCTGAAACCCTCCAGATTTGGGAACATCTGGTTTTCCCAGCCTTGGCTTCCCGTGTGTGTTGATCCCTTTATGCATTTTCTCACATTGGTCCCTTCTGTGCTGCTTAGAAGCATATCTGGAATATGGAATTCCACTAGGTCATGGAATAGCAGAATTGCACTTCTGTAGCATGTGCTTTCTTTTGGGTTTTAGGACTGATTCTTTAACACACACACATGAAGGAAAATTGGGAGTTCTAGCCATTCCCCTCATGCATTTATGTCATTTAAGAACAAGAGATGTTAGAATTAAAAGAACTAAGTTGTGAAGTAAAAAGTAGTCCATGAAAGGAGGGTATTCGGACAGATCTGTATACAATGTATACACTCGGTAAAGCTTGTGAAACATCTGAGTCAGCTCCACTTGATCTTGAACCCAGGTCCTGCAGGGCATGCCTTTTTCAGCATTTGGGTCTTCGTATGATAACATTTGGTCACCTGAGGAAGGGGCAAAAACCTCCAATGCCCAAACAGGGACTTGAACCCTGGACCCTCAGTTTAAAAGGCTGATTCTCTACTAACTGAGCTGTCTGAATGCTCTTTTAGTGTGAGGGCGGGGTCTCTCTTACCCTCTTCCCAAACTTCTTTCCTGTCTCCAGAAGTGGATATGCTGACAAAGGAGCTAGAGGACTTTGAGATGAAGAAAGCTGCTGCTCGAGCTGTCACTGGTGTCCTTGCCTCTCACCCCAACAGTACCGACGCCCACATTATCAACCTCTCCCTCACCTTTCATGGTCAAGAGCTGCTCAGTGACACCAAACTGGAATTAAACTCAGGCCGTCGTTATGGCCTCATTGGCTTAAATGGAATTGGTGAGGCCCTTGGAAGGCGAGGTGGGAGGTATCTCTCCTTGGCTCGTCTGTCACTCAGCAAGCATTTACTTAGCACCAGCTATGTGCAAAGCAAGGAGTTTACAATATGGGTGGGAGACCACATATGTCCAGGGAAAAGGAACTAGCAGTACAGAGCAGTATGTGGTAAGTACCACATGAGTAGTTACAGATAGTAGGTGCTGGAGAAGTGGGTGGGAGGGACAGCGCTGGTGGTGTGTGAGGCCGCTGTAAGTGATCTGACTGGACGGAAGAGGGGTGGGACAAGAACTGGAGGAAAGTTGGAAAGGTAGCACCAGAAAGCAGGGGGGTGGGGGTAACTAATAGTAGGATTTAAACAAATGAAAGGAAGGAAGGAAGGTACTAAAAACAATGGTGAGGTCATGGTTTGGCTGGAGTGGAGGAACTGGTACAGCAGAATGATAGGCAGACCTGTGCGGAGTGTCCTCTTCCCATTCTTTGCCTGCTCTTCTCAGGAAAGTCCATGCTGCTCTCTGCTATTGGGAAACGGGAAGTGCCCATCCCTGAGCACATTGACATCTACCATCTGACTCGGGAGATGCCCCCTAGTGACAAGACACCCTTGCAGTGTGTGATGGAAGTCGACACAGAGCGGGCCATGCTGGAGAGGGAGGCTGAGCGGCTGGCTCACGAGGATGGTAGGGCTCCAGACCTAGGGGTGGGGGTGGACCTCCTCCCAGGGAAGGCCCAGGGAGCCTCACGAACCATTCACTGCCCACAGCGGAGTGTGAGAAGCTCATGGAGCTCTACGAGCGACTGGAAGAGCTGGATGCCGACAAGGCGGAGATGAGGGCCTCACGGATCTTGCATGGACTGGGTTTCACTCCTGCCATGCAGCGCAAGAAGCTGAAAGACTTCAGTGGGGGCTGGAGAATGAGGGTTGCCCTTGCCAGGTGAGTTCCTTCCTCCTTCTCTACCCTCTGTAGCTCCCCATTTCCCTCAGGGTTGAATGCTTACTCCAGTGGAACTGTTGAGAACAGGGGTCAGTGGTCAGTAACAAGACATCAGCGGTGTGGAGGGGGGTGGTGTGCTTGGGCTAATGAGTGAGCTTCCTGACTGAAGTGATCATTGTTGGATTTCTGGCACAGTGTTTGGGAATCCTAGGATCAGCCCTAGGTAAAATGGTAACGTAGGTCCATTTCTTTCTTCCTGACTCCCATCCTTTCCTTTTTTGTGTTTCAGTCCTGATCCTTGCTATATAAGGATAAAATAGATTAGGTAGTTACTAAGTAATTCGTCCTTATCTCTTGTGACCTGGACCCAAAGTGAGTTTGTAGAGACCATCGTTCCCTCAGCAGTCCCCCCAGAAAGTCCCCATAGGTGCTCCCTTACCCCACTGTTCTCTGCCAAGTAAATTGGTGAGGTTTGAGATGCTGCTTTAGCGAGGCTTTCTGTGTGTGCCTTAGACCATGAGAGCAGTGGTTCCACGTGCTAGCAGGGATTAGCTACCTCCGATTCCCCTAGGGAGCTTTAGAAGTACAGATTTCCTAGCCTCTTCTTCACATCCGTGCACTTGGAATACTGGAATTTGGTGCCTGGAAATCTTATTTCTAAAAAGCTCTGCAGTATGGTGACTGCGGGTATAGGATCCAGTGCTATCCCCTTGCTTCTGCTGACTTGAGATTCCACCTAAGAAGAGAACATTTTTTGGCCTCCTTGCTAAAGTCTGGCAACCCCATTGGATAAGTTTAACTTGAATACTTTTTGCTTTAGCAATTTGTTTCCTCTCTCCTTTTGTCTTCCTGTTGGTCACCAACTTCAGCATAAAAGACTTTCCAGACTCATAAGGACTTTTACAACCTTATCCTCAAACTGCGCCATCTTTGTGCTTCTCAGCGCTGTTTTCTGCCTTTTCATCTCAGCTCTGGTTTCTCTCTTCGTTCTCCCCTTTCTTTTCTTTTTCTTTTTTTTTTTTTTTTTAAAGATTCTATTTATTTATTTGAGACAGAGAGAAT